AAAAAAAAAAAAAAAATAGAAATAATCTAAAGGAACTAGACACGGTTAACCACATAGTCACGCAAGCACGTAAAACTCCCCCACACTTACAATCAGACAATGTACCCATTGTCGATCCGTAGTGAAAGAGAGTTAGACCATATAACTAACCGACTGAAAATAAAACAAACTGTACAAAATAAAAGAGAAAGAGAAAGAAAAACGTACTAAGCACAGTGACAAGTCACTGTGCGTCCGGCGGCACTGGTGGAGGGTGGAGGTAGTCGGGCCCCAAACAATGATGGGCATTGTACAAATCAAATCTCTCACCCCATTGAAATCGGGGCAACTCTCCCGAACTCAGTTTGGAAGGTGAAATGTGGTGGTTGGGGTGGCCTCCATTTGTAATATGGGCAAGGTCCTGTAATGGCCTCATCGTGTACTCATGCAGTTCTGGTCTGGTCTCCCGGACGGAAATGGTAATGGACTCACCCAACACCATCATGGTTAACTTCCCCCTTTTTACATTAATAGTCGTGTCCGTGGTTGCCATGAATGGTCGCCCAAGGAGGATGGTGTGCTCTTTCTCATTCGCTCGAATGTCCCCCACATCAAGGACAACAAAGTCTACGGGAACGATCAACTTCCCCACTCGAACGAGCACATCCTCCACAATGCCCTCGGGCTGACGGAGTGAGTGATCGGCAAGCTGCAAGCGCATCCGAGTAGGCTTCAAACCCTTAAGCTTAAGCTGCCGATAAATAGATAGTGGCATGAGATTTATGCCCGCTCTAAGATCGAACATTCCCAAATCCTCTTTTTCATTCCCAAAGGCAATGTTGATCACGAAGCCTTCGGGATCTATTTCTTTCTTCGGCAAGAGATGATGCAAAACACTTGCTGCCTCACAGATTATGACATCCCCGTCACTATCGAACCTCTTCTTGTTGGTGGCAACTTCCTTTAGGAATCGTGCATGGACCGATAGTTTCTTCAACACATCGGGAGAAGATAGGTCGACATTGGCCTTAGCCAACATCGCATGTAGGTCCCGAATCATCGTGCGGTCCTTTTTCTCTAAAAGTGGGCTTGGAATGGGGAGTCTCAGTCTGTACGGGTTTGGGGATTTGTGCAAGGTAGGCTCAGGTGGCGATGTCACTGGGATTTTTTCTTGCTTTCTCGGGCCCTTTTTTTCTTTTTTCTCCAAGTCTGGCATAATCACAGTTATGACATTCACGTGCTCCGGCTGACTTGGTAATTTTTCCTTGTCTCTCTCGGCCTCGAGGATCCCGACCCGTGTGGCTAACTGGCCTATTTGTGTCTCTAAGCGTTTGATTGATGACTCC